TCAAAGCGAATCTGTCACGCAAAGCGAAGCAAGCGTTTTATCTGGCATTAGTTTAATAATTTGTTCATGTTGATAGCAGCGTCACCATATTGTTAATATTTAAAAATAAATTAAGGAATTAGGAATTTCTTTCACAGTTAATGGGTGTAAATATTTTAGTCTTCTGTTTAATCTATATGTATGTATGTTGCGTTGACAATATTAAATGTTTTTATTTAATTAATTCAACAAACCCATTAAGATGTAATATTTCTCAGCTTCATATTTAGTTTTGTTCTCTTTTAACTTTAGATTTAAATATCAAATTCACAAAAGGAAGCGCAGCGCTGTAAATTTAGAAAATGTTGTACCGTCTTCCTTGCAGTGGTATTTTGTATTTTTGCAGCTCCCAAATGCGCAACTCATTTTTCTTTTTAGCATTTTAAAAAATTGTTTTATTTTTTGCTTTGTCGTTCAAATTTTAAAAATCTTACCTCGATACTCAAAAAACTCTAAAAAATCTGATTCAAAAGTTTAAATTGTTGATGATTACACTGTGCGACACTAAAAAATACGTGGGAAGTTATGTATTCTGGTAGGTATACGAGTAAAACAAGAATCGAAATATGAAATTTACCAAACACCCCCAAAATCTTAATTTACCGTTAAAAAACCGGGTTTTCGTACTCTTGCTCACTTATAAGCCTGTAACTTAGTTCATTATGAACCGAATTTCGGTTTTTTGCTGGGTTTAAAAAGAAGAAACTTGGACCTTATGAACGATATATATGTGAATAAAGAAACCTTAAGATAATACACACAGTATTTACCCAGCAAAAACATGTTTTTTCAACTTTTTTCGCCTTTTTAAATTTTATAACAACACCACTAGTCCTATATTCATTGTAAAATTAAATTTAATAGCGAAAAAACGAGTGTTTGTTTTCAAAAATCTAATGAAAGTTTACTGAGTTATTACATTTTTTATGAAAACAAATTTTTTTTTCAAAAATATTATTTTTGGCTATAGAACTCAAAAATTTTTGCTTGACAGTTTTGTTTTTAATTTAACGTTTCCTATGATCGCAAAGTATGGCCATCCCGAGAGCCGCATTAAATAGGCCGTTCTAAACGTCCCATTGGTTAAAGCTGAAAATGTTGTCCTGCCACCACTTCATTTAAACCAAGGATATTTGAATATATAGGGGTATTCTCACAGTCTTGCAATGCCCTTGAACGGAGTACGGATTGCACGGTTTGCATAGCTGTCCCATAAGAAAACCGGTCTTTTTTTCGTGCAATTCATGCACCGTGCAAGGGCTTTGCAAGACTCCAAGAATACCTCTAATTATATAAAAATTGGTTGTAAATAGCAGCGCTTTTTGTCATCTTTAAGTGGGGTTCCCACAGTTAAGTTAAGCCAAAATAAAAGGAGGTATTAATTTTTTATTCTCTCGTCTAGTACTTTTTCATCGGTTTTATCCCCTTTTATGAATGTTAGGTATTTTCATAGGACCTCAAATTCGTAAAATTATGAGCGAAGTGAACTTTTTGAATAAGGTAAGCTCAGTAGAACAACGTGCATGGAAGTGTTTTGTAGTGCTATGCAATAATTTCTTTGGAAACCACAGAAGCGACGACTATGTCTACGGTGACCATATTAACCATCGTAAAATAAAGGACTTTTTTTCAAAATGATTTGGGAATACGTACATACAACTTGTATGATAAAATTACCTTACCCATATCGTAATTTAAATCAAATATTTACCAGTTAATTATATTATTGTACAAGTTCCCCTGATGTAGCGAAAAATGAAGCCAAATCCTTTACAAGGACTTCGCCATCCTTTGCTACCAAATGCGTTTACCAAAATTCATACTGCACGGCAAAGCCAGCACACAGTGGTTCAAAATTGCAATTGAATGTCCATAATTCACCGGAGCCTTAATTTTTCAACCAATTTTTATTAAAACAAAAAAAAAATATTTATGTTGATGAACATTTTTTGTAACATTAAAATTTTTTTGTGTAGCTTTTTCATTTTGGGAAAACCATACAATTGTTTTCAACTAGTTTTTGCATACATTTTCTTCAAAATTGCTACTTTTTCTGCATTTTGCACTAAACAAATTAATATAATCAAATAAAAATTCACAAATCAGGCTCAACTGGTCTCTTGAAAATATTGTAAGCTTTCATAAAAAAAAAAATAATCAAATTAAGTGAAAAATGAAGGCTCCAGTGAATTACGAACACTAATTGCCAGTTTTGAACCACTGCGCTGCAGGGGGTTTATTGTTCTCTTTCAGAGGAATTGGAAACTCAGCGTGCAACACGATCCTGGGCAAAACTTTCCCTGTGCTTTATAGATTGTACAAAGATTAACGATGAAATAGAAAGCCTTAAGTGAAGTGCGAAACAAACTGGCGGAGGTTTTCATTATATTTTATAAGGCATATTTTTATTTTTCATATTCTGTATGTGTTGTGTATATTTTTATTTATAAACGTATGTGTTCCTTTTCTTTTGTACGCTTTTATTGATATATCTGTACTGTAATATTTTCGGACGGTACTAGCTCTTACTGCCTTTTTAGGAGTATTACATATACGCATGCGCCCCACACTTCATTTTCAGTCTCACAGATTGTTTATAATGATTTTTCCTAAAATTTCAAAATCAAAAGTTACTTTTTCCATCCTGTCCATTTATAAAACCGCGCATATTAAAAAGTTTTTTTATTTTATTTATTTTCTACTTGTTAGTATTGTCTGTATAAAATTTTGCAATAGATATTAAAATAATTCAACGATATTAATCGATTGATGCACATACATGCATATGCATATGTATGTACATACATACGAGCACCAATTAATTTCATTTAAAGCACTGCTGGGCACTGACTTGCCCGCGGGCAAAGCTCTTTTAAGCTTTCTATAAATTTTTTTATAGGCGCATGCAGAGTAAAAGCTCTCTCCCCAACGTTGATTTAAAGAAATGGCGTAATGTAGCGTACGTAGTGCATAGGGCGCCATCTACCTCCCAACCGTAGAGGTAGATGTCGCCTTATGCACTAGATTTTGTATAGGAACTTTGCATAGTAAATGTTTTATAGCAAAAATGGTGTCTGGACACACAAAATTGCAAGATGATAAAAGCATTGTAAAAACACCTATTACCTTCCAAAACAATTTTAATACAGTCGTCGCCGCTGTGAAAGACACTAAGTCGTTTTCGTAAAATTCACCTGTACAGCGAAAAAACATCACCTGCAAAATTTTAAAATACCATAAAACCTAGTAAGAGAACTATCCAAACTTTAAGAAAAGTTGCCCTTATCCTTTCTGACCCCTTTTTAGACAATGGCGTTAAATTGGCATTTAGGCAAAAAAATGTAGACTCGGGTTACGCCATCCACAGTATTTTTACGAAGAAAATCTTTCCCCATTGGCGGCCTTCGGCCACTCTTAGAAAAAATAACCCTTATCAGTGCAATTCCGGCTATCGCTGCTCACCAAAAAATCGGTAATCGCTTTTAGTGATAACGTGTTCTAGAACGCATTGCCTTATAATGTCTTCTAATTTGTTCGCTTCTTTTAGGTATTGCCGGTAATGCATAGCAGAATATTCGACAATATTTTATTAATTTCGCTGCTTTGGTTCATTATGGGGAATGCAAGGTACACCAGCTGAAAAATAGAATAGGGGTTTTCACGATCCGATGCATACTGCCTAGCATGGTTTGAACACATGAAACAACAACAATGATGCTATTTATGCTATCAATGCACCATGCTAGACGGTGTACATCGGATCGTGAATACCCCTAATGAATAACCAAAAATTCTTTTCTACCGTTACTTTCTGTGGGAAATTCCATCGAATAAAAATCATGTTTTGCTTTGATGAGTGAGGAAGTACAATTTTAAGTTTAATTAAAAATGTTTGTATGTACATACCGATTTTTAAGTAAGATTCCTCCAGTACTGTTGGAGTCAATCGCTACTTTTGAACCGCTACTGAACTGACTCCTAGGTAAGTAGCTACTCTATTAACCCGTGGTAGTACACATGGTAGTGCAGAGTCGAACCAGTCAGAAGCAGAATATTGAAAAACTATGAAAGAGGGCGCAAGTGACTATTTTAGTAAGAGCCAATTAACACAACGACTTTTCACCCTGCGTTTTTGGCACGTTACCTTTTAAAAAAGTCTTCGAAAATCCTCGTGCATTTACACGATGACTTTTTCTTTGCGGCGTTTCTTGTGTATTTTTGACATGTAAGCGTCAAATTTTCTTTGGTCAACTCTTTCGTCCTCTTTTTTTAAAGCGGAGCGAATCGCGAACTCAAAGCAAAAATACGAAAAAGTCAACTCGATAAAAGCGAAACGTCAAAAAAACCCCTCGATTTCGCTCACCGTGCGTGCTTGCCTACCCCGCTGACTTCGCTACACTTCTTGCCTACAAGCTCGACACGCATGACTTTCCACCCAGGGTGAAAAGTCATCCTGCAAATTGGCTCTAACTACCGGTAGTGTAGAGAGAGCCGATCTAGGTATTCCTCATTAGTTTCTCTGTAAGGCATTCTTTGTTCGCTTCTCTGGATTCTGTTTATCCATGCGTTCTGCTTTCGTTCGTAGGTAATTCTTCGGGTAAGGCCTTACAGCCAATGACATGCCTACGTTAAAATAGTGCCTTCTTGAAGAGAAAATATAAGCGATTCTCTTCGCCTAATTCGATTCCATTCTAGCTTCTGTGGTAATCGTGTTTTTTGCTGCTTTGAAATTAGGCCGCCGAAGAAATATGAAGGCGGCCTTAATTCACGCGGTCTTAATTCCATCCCACTCATTTTATATATTCATAGATAGGTATAGATGTGGTTATTTCCATACACATCGTTGCATTAATAATCTTTATCAACTGTTCAATATCATAATTCCAATTGAAGTCCAGTTCATCAAACTTGTAAACAAAAGTACATACAACAATAAATAAATATTTAATTCTAGTACTCACGTATCTATGGCATTTAAGCCTGCCGCCTGCATTGTTTTTAAGCGTTCTTCCCATACCTGTGGCAAAGCGCGAAAATAGTGAAACGACCCTGAGACATAACGAAACGGTTTGCCATCCATTAAAAAAGTATTAGCTTCATGGTCTATAGTGAAGGTGCGGTTTGAGTGCTAAAAATGGCATTCGAGAAGAATATTAATTTTTGCTTACGTACGCACTTACATATTTACATGCATATGTACATATGTATGTATTAGGAATGTTAATCCCGGGATCCCGGACTTTTTAAGGTCTCGAAAATCCCGGGATTCTTGGCGAGTAATCACGGGATTTTCGAGATTTGTAATTTGCACCGATGACAATAATATAAACTCCTTTTCTTGGCCAGTATTGCCTATATTCTTTTTTTATTAATGTCTAGCTCATTAGACATACAACACCGCGCGATAGTAAATTTTAAACACAACTATCAATATATTCGCGAAACCATGGGCCAAATATAGTGAAATTGCGTTTTTAGTTTTTCACTCTGACGTCAGTAATTTAAAAATGATTTTAAAAAATTCAGAGAAATGTGCTTAGAGAAGAAGTATGGGTATGAAATTAATGCGGAAATCCTGTAGAATTTAAACAGGTTCAAGTTTCTGGTGCAGAAGGGCTGGTAAATATTGAAATTGTCATTTTAAAATTGTATCGAATAACGTTTTAAGCGCCAATTTACTCAAAACTAGTTTTTTCGCAGATTACCGTTAAAAATACTCTCGCGTATCATAAGGTCGCGAAATTTCTCATTTTCCATCAGTTTTCGGACATTAACCTACGCTCCAACGTAAGTAGTGAGTGGAAAAACGTTTTAAGTGCAGGTGACCATGGCCAATTTAGAATTAACCAGCGTAATGCAAATGTGCAATAATGGTAAAACACGTAAAGTACATTTCGAAAAATGGAATGATATGAAAAATAAGAGGCTAATAAATAGTGGGGAAGAATATTCAGGAAGAAATGGGAAAGGGTATGATAAAAAATTACCAGAAACGGCCATGTGGAAAAACGTTGTAAGTGAAGGAGCTGTGTTAATATCAATTTTGGTTTTTTATTCCCCAAATTGCGCTTCAAGTGCGCTTGTTCTCTTCACAGGTCAAGCTTCATATTGGAGACTATTCAAAAGCATTTCTCCATTTTTTATAAAATGACCTATGATGAACAATCAAAGAAACCTTATTGTTACATTTATTACATTCATTTGTCGAAAAAGGTTGTAAGCGCCACCAGCAAAGATGTTAGGCTTACTGGAAAAACGTGTTATCATCCATTGGGATTTGGATATAAAGCGTTTTTCCATCATTAAAATTTTATAAATCTTTTTTTGACTTGAAAGATATATCGCACACCGTCTTCAAAAGAGTCACAACTCAAAATAATACGTTTGTCAGAAAAGGCGAAAAACTATTTTCTTAGCACATGATAATTATATGGGCAAGGGCGACTTTACCTTAGGTTTTTTGTAACAAATTGTATACAAAAATTTGCTCCAGGTTTTGCTGAAAGGTAAATAAACGCTCTGTGAAAATTTTTAGCGCATAATCTCAAAAATTCAAAATTTTGAGCTCCGACTCTTTTAAAGACGGTGTGCGATATATGGATATAAATTTTAATTCACGGGCAAGTCTCTTGGAGACTGCTGTACCGAAAAATGGAAAACTAAATCAAATGATTATGTGCGTTGTCAAAGACGTTTTTTTTCCATTCCTGAAAATTATGTCGCTTACAACGTTATTCGCGGCGACCATTCATTTGTTTTTGAAAAAATTATATGTTAAGGGCTTATATAAACTCGATAACATCCCCGAGTTACGTTCTTCTAACTTTGTCAGATTAAAAATTACCTATTCGTCCTTGTGAATCCAAAAAATTTTAATTTTTTAAATTCTAAATATTTTTATTCTACATTGCATTGATTTTTTTTTAACAATTTATGGTATTAATAATATCTTATAAATTACAGAGTCCTTCAAAATAAATCCTGCGGTCAGAGAAAAAAAATAAAAACGCCACTTTAAATAAAAAAGTTGGTTTCAAACCCATTTATTATTATTTATTTCATGGTAGGAGAGCTTCTCAAAAAATATAGAAGCAATTTTTTCGATTCAAGTTGTTGAAAAGTAATGAATATCCAAATTCCGGGACTAATTTCGGGATTGTGACAACGCCATCCCGAAAATCCCGGAATCGGAAAAGCCGAAAAATTAACATCCCTAGTATGTATATATGTGTATATTGCACTTTAATACAATTTAATTTTTGTATTTAAATCAAATCAATGATAATTTCACTTAGTTCTAGTTATTTTTCATTTTAATTCCTTATTTTATTTTACCATATTTTTTATTTATTGTACTTTATTCAATATCAAACATATAAACTCACTTTTGCCCAACAGGAGTCCAAGCTGACCAGCAAACAAACAAGAATCAATCTCGTTACAAGTTTATTTTTCAATGCGCTCATTATCGCTTCTTAAACACAACTGGCAATTGCACTGGTTAGTCGCCATGAGCAAACTAAGTTCAGCATCGCCTAGAAGTAATTTATTTATATTCGTACTTAGTACGAACATATTGCATGTATGTAGATAAATAAATAAAAAAATTTATGTTATGGAGTGTCCACTCGGAGACGTGTGCACATTAGGGTGACTCAAAATTAGTCGGAATTTTGATGCTTTCACCCTCTAGGATTTTTCTATATCGAAAAAATATAACCATATCTTTTTTATTTTGCAATCAAAAGATATTTAGAGGTCGCTCAAAACGCTCAAAGTTTTCTATATATTTTATATGGGAATAACGACTGGTTCGAGAGGCAGATGTCGCCCTTTGCACTACGTACGCTACAGCGGAAATGTACAACACCCCATTTCTTTAAATGAAATTAATTGGTGCTCGTATGTATCAAATCAAAAGTTATCAAAACAAATTCTATGGGTCTGAGAATTATGTATTATTTTCTACATTTTAGTCCATTTATAAAAGCGTTGTATATTAAAAAGTTCGTTTTATATTATTTATTTTCTACTTTTTAGTCTTGTCTGTATACAATTTTGCAATAGATATTAAAATAATTCAACGATATTAATAGATTGGTGCACACACATGCATATACATAAGTATGTGTGTATGTATGTACATACATACGAGCACCAATTAATTTCATTTAAAGAAATGGGGTGTTGTACATTTCCGCTGTAGCGTACGTAGTGCAAAGGGCGACATCTGCCTCTCGAACCAACGAGGTTGATATCTAGACCTAATAGGAACCTTCCGAACACAGCTTTTATAGCTGTCTGGACACACAACATTAGGTGTGTACCCGTATTGAGAGGACAAAATTCTCCAGCAGCAAAAGTTCTGAGAATTTAGCAGAATTCGCTCTTAAAGAGACGAAATATCAACAGAAGTACGAGAACGCAAAATTTGCAAAAACTTGCAACCTTCGAAACAGCTGATCACTTGCACAGTTGCCACTGGTGATTAATTTGGCAATTTATTTTCTGTTTGGTACATTTTCCCCCGATTTGGAATTTTATACAATTGAATAGTTTTCGATAAGAAAAACCTTTTCAAAATACAAATTAATTATACCGGAATGAATAAGTTATTTTTCTCATAATTATTTGTGATATCACATGGTGACGCATTAAAAACAAGAGTATCTCCTCCAAACACCCATCATTGATCCAAAAAAATGTTATAGAGTAGGTTTAAAATTATAAAATTTTCATTTCAACAATCAACCTACCAAAACCGAAAACTTCAGAAAAAAAAAAAACATTTCAGCATGCTTCATTTAAATCTATTTTGGTATATTTAAAGGAAAATTATGGTACAAACGAAAAATGCCATACAGCAAAAATAGTCAGCACACACTAAAGTAAACAAACTGGAGATTAATAGCAAATTAACGAAAAATAAACTCAACAAAGGTTGTGCTTATTAAATTTATGCACTTTTTAGCTGTATGCATTAATAATAAAATTTGCAATAAATAACTCAAAAAGGCCATATTTTCTTTTGTTTATTTACAAACATGCGTTTGTGATCAGCTGATTTTCTTACTTGCAAGTTTTAGCTGGGAAAAATTTTTCCAGCAGAAATTTGCAGCTCTCTTTCACATTTTGCTCTCTCAATTTCCCCTACTTTGCAAGTTTTTTGGGTACGAGAACGCAAAACCAGTAAAAGTTTTCTAAAACTTTAGATAGTTGGGCGTACGAGTACACTCCTATTGCACATTGATAAAAGCGTTGTACAAAATTTGAGATCCATTTTAAGCGACCGTTATTCATATACCCACATACATATGTAGGTACACACATATAATACTTTTCATATCAATTTAAGTCTATTACATGCGCCCATGTATGTAATACTTCTATATTGGCAGTAAGCTAACTTCCCAATGTGTAAGCATTCCGAAATCAAAACGAGGCAGTTTTTGTGTATGTATTAGGGATGTTTCGAATGCCATATTTTTCACATTCGCGAATTTTCGGAATGCGAATGCAAATGCAGATGCAAAATGGAGCTCTGAAAGTATTCATCTCGGAACCCGCTGGTGGTAGCAGAGGAAGAGGGAGGCCACAACTGCGATGGAAAGATCAGGTGGAGAAGGACTTGGCTTCACTTGGCGTCAGTTGGCACAGAGCAGAAACGACTGGCGTGCTTTGCTGAACTCGGCCAAAATCGTTTAGGCGGTTACAGCGCCAAAAAATAAGAAGAGAAGAATCCAAATGCAAATGTTAAGTCATTGTTTTTATAACTTTGTCAATTTGTCGTATTTTTGTTTAGTTTTCCACCAATCGAGAGGATTTTCACTGAGATGAGCCTGTTTTTCCTTAAGATAGGCCTCCAATTTTATTTCACATTTTTTAATGTCTCCAATCGAGAGGATTTTCACTGAGATGAGCCTGTATTTCCTTAAGATAGGCCTCCAATTTTATTTCACGTTTTTTAATGTCTCCAGATTTTACATCCGAGCCTTTGCTTGCGCTGGAGGAATCTAAAATTATTTCTAAGTTGCTTATACGACTTTCAGCAGTACTTGTTAAAGGCCCATCAATGTTGCTTGATATACTACTTAACCGTTTAGCGCCTGAAGCTAAAAGCCGATTATTGCCCGCACCCTGGTTAGACAGACTTAAAGCCATTTCAACAACATTAGAGTGGACACTCTGCCCATGTACACATTCGCATTCGCAAAACACTCGTATCGTTTGATGCGAATGCGAATGTCGAATGCGAATGTGTAAAATGATGCGAGTCATTCGCATAACGAATGCGAATGTAAATATTCGCAACATCCCTTGTATGTATTGTGAACGTGAGTGCCGTTTTTGTGTATGTGTTGTGTATATGTTTATTTATAAACGTACACTGAGGGGGAAAAATATTAAAATCAAATAGAAACGTAATTGGTCTTACCATAAACGTCAACGAAAGTACTGTAGATTGGTAAATATTCAATTCAATTACGCTTATATTAAAATGGCCGCGTTCGTACTGAAAAAGCATCCGTGAAGTGAATAATCAAGAGAAAAACTAAAAAAAAAAATTACTTTTGATGTTGCCTGCAGTGGAATTCGAACCTGACCATCTCCGGATATCAACAACTTCTGGCAAGCATCTTTGCGCACTCAGCTACACCCACACATATAAATTTGCTTTCAAATGTTGAATATCCATCAACACCACAGCACGCGATTTGTACGTATAAACATGTACTATGTATGGATGTGTGTGTTGTCATCGCTCTCAGAGCGGCGCTCTGCATGCTTGTGCACTCATATATATACTCAGATGTGAACAGTCAAATACGTGCGTAATAAATTTTGTATGAAAATATAATTTTTAAATACGAACATTTTTAAACGATAATCAAATATAAAGTATTAATTTTTACTATGCATTATTTCCCTCAGTGTATGTATGTGTTCCTTTTCTTTTGTACGGTTTTATTGATATATCTGTACTGTAATATTTTCGGGCGGTACCAGCTCTTGCTGCTAATATATTACCCATATGCATGCGCCCCACGCTTTTCATTTTCAATCTCATAAATTGTTTATAATGACTTTTTCTAAAATTTCAAAATCAAAAGTTACTTTGTAGTCCATTTATAAAACCACGTAAATTAAACAGTTTTTTATTATATTATTTATTTTCTACTTGTTAGTATTTTCTGTATACAATTTTGCAATAGATATTAAAATAATTCAACGATATTAATAGATTGATGCACACACATGCATATGCATATGTATCAAGAATGATAGAATACAAGATTGCGCCGATCAGAGAGGATTTTTGAGAATAACTTTTGTGTGACGTCACACTGGTGCAATTGCGAGAGAGAAATGCCAAAACGTGAGCAAGAATGGAAGAAGAAGCAAAAATGTTGCAAGGAATACGTAAACAAGTTGCACCAGTGTGACGTCACGCAAACAACGATTCTGTCAAATTCTTTAAGAGAGGAATAGCGGTTCGAGATCGGCGCAACCCTTGTATTCTCTCAATCGTGCATATGTATGTACATACATACGAGCACCAATTAATTTCATTTAAAGCAATGCTGGGCACTACCTTGCCCGCAGGCAAAGCTCTTTTAAGCTTTCTATAAATTTTTTTATAGGCGCATGCAGAGTAAAAGCTCTCTCTGACCATTGCAGATTTAAAGAATTGGCGTGTTGTCCATTTCCGCTGTAGCGTACGTAGGGCATAGGGCGACATCTACGTCTCAACTGTAGAGGTGGATGTCGCCCTATGCATTAGAATTTTTATAGGAACTTTTCAAAGCAAAGGTTTTACAGCAAAGATGGTGTCTGGACACACAACATTGCAAGTTGATAAAAGCGTTGTAAAATAGGGGTATATTTTTTCGATATAGAACAATCCTTTGGGGTGGGCATAAAAATTCCGACATTACTTTTTCACATGCATTTTTGGATCACCCTAATGTACATATTATTTATGTACATTACTAGTGGACCAAGAGAGTTAGTTGCAGCCTATAATAGATAAATGTAGGTTCAATCGTACGCACTCAATTTTGACAGTTAAAAATAATTAAATTTTGTCTATCAATTTCATGGTAAGTGTTTGTTAGGTTTCGAGTGAATGATGATGCGATGCACTGGTTATCGCGGAATGCATATGCACCTATGTACATACATACCAGGGCTGCTGCGAATATTCGCATTCGCAACCGCGGAGCTTCCGCATTAATTTTAACATTCACATTCGCAATAGTCAATGCGGACCTTTTGCGGATGCGAATGTTGTGCAAGTTCACCGATAAAACGTATATATGGCAAACAAAATGGCAAATAGTAGCCAATGCTTTTGCCTGTGGTCGTAAGAGTATTGTGTAACAAAACTGGTCAAATGTCATATTTATCAACTTTGATGAAAATGTCATTAAACATATTATTTCTTAAGCTATATAACCGAGCTATCAACGTGCAGTCATACAAGTTCCAACTTCTACTTGAGCTTTGACGTA